ATGAGAGAAAGAAATGAATCCTAGAATGGCTTAGGTTGGAAGGGACCCTAGAAATCATCTAATCCAACCTCCCTGCCATGGGCAGGAACTCCTCTCAACTAGGCTAGGGTCCTCAAGGCCTCCTTCAACCTGGCCTTGAACACGTCCAGGGAGGGGGCATCCACAACAACAATGAAAGGATTTTTAAACAGTATATAATGACACGGAAAATAATCCATCCAGGGAATAAAAAAAACAAAAACAAAAACAAAACCAACCCAACACAACAAAACCTTGTCTGATGCTGATCACTTGCTTGAAGTAGAATTACAATGTCATTAATGGGCAGACCAGGAGCCAAACTCCTCTCTCCACTCCCACATCACACACCAGAGACCCGAAGTGCCAGAGGGAGGAACCTCTATCAATGCACTCACCCACTGCAGTGGATGTGATGGGAGGGAGAGAGCAGCCCGGGAAGGGGGCAAAGCCATGGACAAGGGTAGCCGCCAGGCCACGAGCCCAGTTATATAGCAGGGACACAGAGACAGCTTCACGTTCTCACCCTGCCATCCTGGGAACTCCACTTGCTGTGAAGAGACAGGGAACCCTTCCAATAGCCAGAACCCTCACACAACACACACACAACATAAACAAGCTTCCTAACTCCCTTACAAGCAGAGTCAGCTCTTATATAACTTGGAGGCTTCTTGCCCCACCTCCAAGTTAGTCTGGAAGGCAGGGGCACCTGGTGGTGATCTCCTAATCAATTTCCACCCAAGGCTGACCAGACCCTGGGTGAAAACCCATCAGGAGGGTCTTTCTTGCCTGGTTGTGGACATCATCCATATACCAACCCTCATTCAGGGCTGGGGGTTTAAACCCCAGCACTTCACCATCCCAGCTTTTAACATTGACATTGGCAAACTCTCAGATGGTCTGTCGTAACGGGGTTGAGGAAATCAGAGGTGTTAAGTGAAATGCAACAATCCAAAAGCAGCAACAAGGTCCTAAGAACATGTGCAGAGTTGTCTCCAGCTGACAAAGAGGTTAAATCACAGAACTGTAGACAACTAAGGGCAAGGAAAAGGGATTTTACAATGTTCAGCATAAGTGTCAAGCCTGCTCACCTATTTACTTTCTCTGCTTGCTATTTTTCCTATATACCTTCTGCAAGATATGGTCCCGCAACTCCGACTTCAAGCAGCTTCTGAACTCCTGAAGGCACACGAGACAGTGACCCTTACCAAGCCTTGCTGTGCACTGGAGTACACCTTGTGATGTAAGGATGATACACAAAAAACTTCATCCAGGCTCAGCCAGCATAAAAGATGGTGAGCCCTTAGGGCACAGATATTGGCCTTTAGAAGTGCCAGTAGGAAGATCAGGCACAGAAATTTAAGTGTAGGCTCGGCCTGCTGTTCCACTAAGAATAAAAACATAAAGCGATGAAGTAACAAACTCTGCTCTTACCACAGTAAAGTACTTGCAGAGGAAGCAACCCTCAAAGCATGAATCTGACTGGATGACTTGGACATTATTTACTCTTTCCTTACGATTAACTTGTTGCTGGCAACATCACCATATAAAATAAGACACCATTCAGCACTTTCAAGGCAACGTCATTGTACACCCTAAAATTAGGCATCATAAATTTAGTTATCAGAATAATTACATCAAAGTTTCACTGGCACTTTGGACAAGTCTATGATGTTATAACTTCAGCTTAAAATAATTACCAGTTTAAACTAAACATTTGTTTCAAGCAACATGGCTTTAATAGTAGTTTAGATCTGCAATCTTGGTGTTTTTCATTAGTCTGTAACATTTAGTTGTCATTTATCTAAACTATATAAGCATTAAGTCTGTGGGACTACGACCAGTACCCTAAGGTCAAGTCCATTAGAAAAAGAAGTCTTTTTATTAACAAGGTCTTTCGAATGTACTGTAATTTCCAGACATTCCTCAGGAATGTAATTCTTTTTTAGTGCCATGAATTTCAATACAACTACTTGAAAAGACTGTATGAGAGTAAAAACGTCCAAGAATCTGAACAGTAATTACAGTAATAAACCTCGTAGAGGCCTTTGTAATTTGTCAAATTAAAATTGTGTGTAACTGTCCTTGTTACATTGGGCCAATCTTAATTCTTTTTTACAGCAAAGTTGCAGGCTTTGGAAGATCACAGAATGTTGAGGGTTGGAAGAGACCACCAGAGATCAATTGGTCCAGCCCCCAAAGATAGGCAAGAGCAGCAGATGCTACACGTCTCGATAATGGTCAGTTTTAAAATTTTTATCTCATATGCAAAACCAATTGGAATAGTACAAAATTAGCTGAAAATACACATGAAAATAAATAGCAATATCCCTCTGTCAAACTGAATGTGCTTATTAAGTGGGTCTACTTTATATTTACCTGCTATTTTCATTTCTTATTCTGAAAGTGGAATAGACAGAACATCTATGCAATATTAATTAAATTGCAAGAACACTGGAACAGGGAATAGAAATCAAATTGGTCATGAGAAATTAAAAAAGTTATCTGAACAAATTATAACACAATTTAACTTAATAGCATCAACAGTCACATATAAAGGAACACTCAAGTCTGTGAAAACAGCCATTTAGCAGGAAAGATTTTGGAAACTTTGAGGATTTCAAGTAGAATATGAACCAGGAGCACAGCATACGAGACGTTTTTCCTTTTCCATACTATGGGCAAGCTTAAACCAGAATACCATCCCCATTTTAGACATCACATTTGAAGAAAGTTGTGAACCGAGCGTAGGGAATCCAGAAGCTGGCAAAACTGTTACCAGGGATCACAAAAACACAAGAGAAGTTGGGAAGAAGTGGGATCATTTAGAAGGTTGAGGAATACAACAGTCTTCACAAAGAAAGGCTACCTCATAAAGGGTGGGATTTGTCTTTTCTTGGCAGTGGTAGAAGCTTAAAGTGCTGTGATGGACCTGGATGTTAGACCTCAGAAAAGGTTTTGTTTAAGCCAGTTAACCACTGTAACAGATTGGGTAGGCAGAGTGGGGAGTATCTGCTGCTGGTAGTCTTTAAGAACAGGAAAACCTGAACACATGCAGGTTGAGCTGTTCCTACTTTACAGAAGGGGTCCCTTTCAGCATTACACTCTGTGATTGTCCTTCCACAATCCCTCAAGTTTCACTGCACTCCTTCCCTGCCCTCACCCCTTACCTCTGTACTTAGCTTTCAGCTAATTTCTGAAGCCTTGGCCACCCTTATACTCAAGAAATCACACAGAATGATATAATGAGCTGGTGTCATACTTCTATTCTGCATGTGCATTACTCTCTCCTTGCACTTGAGTCTTCCTTGTATATTAGGGAACAAACACCACTACACATTTTAAAAAGAAGCTCCCATTCCTGATTAGCCTTAAAATGCCACCAAAATAAATGTTTGGCATTAAATGCATCCTAATCAAGTGGCATCAGTACATTTCAAAATGTTACTTTAGTTATGATGCAGTTGGTGATAGCTGAGATTGTACAGTAAACAGACGTGACACATTTCTTTCTAAAATAAAAGTATGAGTAAATATCTAATAGCAACACTACCTTACATTATGTCATCAGTTCTGAAGAGGAAATGACCCCATAGATTAATGAGGAATTCTGCCTAGAAGTCAAAGGTATGATACAGTCTTATATTATTAAACAAGACCCAGATATGATCTAACCTACTTCAAACAGCCCGGCCTTTAATAGAGAAGAGAGAAAAAGGCAGAGCACCGAGTACATATTTATCTCTGGTGTAACACTAATGGAGCCAACAGAATTCCTTGAAGTTCAGTGAGCCTCAGAGGACCACATGGCAAGGGCCACAGGTCATCCTGTAAGCTGCAAGGTATGATGAATGGAAAAAGCAATGGCATTTTCTCTTCCTATTTAGGAAACATTATACTAAGAAATAAGATACAACAGGACCGTATATCATAAAATGTTTATTGTTATGTAACAGTTGATGTATCAATTCACTACACAATTTTACCAATTGAAATATGATCATACTGCACAAACAAAGTCCTTTGAAATGAAAAAAAACTCACAAAGTTTCCTAGGAAATCTGATTTTTTTCTATATTGTACATAGTAAACATAGTTTTGCTTTAAATATACAAGTAAACACTAAGTTTTCTAGATAACTTCCATGAACAGCAGCCAGGAATAAAATGAGCTATATTTTATTTTTTCAAAATCTGAGAACTAGGAGATCATTAATCCATCCGATCAGGTCAGACTCACCACAATAATCCCCAGAGTAGAGATAGTCACTCCTTCACACTGACACCAAACACGATAGTGTTCCCATACCCCCCTGAAGGTACGTTCTAAATAGATGGACATTAATAGATAATGACTGGGTGCAGAGCACATAAATACCTTTTAAAAAATTAACCAACTTGAATTTCTTTGTACATATGAGCAATACGAAGAAGTCAGCTAGCACCTTTTTGGAAAATGCATCCAAAAATTTCTCAGTCATAGCCTGCTTCCGCCTTGACACTCCATGACGAGCGACTTGATTTACTGGGGATGACGAGGGGTCTCTGCTCTGGCCAAAGTTGTCAGCAACTGACAGCACTTCACGTTTAGCAGTTTCAGTCACCCTGTTCAGTATCTCTAACCCAAGTACTGCGCTTCCAGAAGAACAAGACTCTTGCCAACAGCTCGGGACATGAGCAGTCCCAGGAGCTGTTACTTTCCCACTATTTCCAGTGCAGGTCTGTGTCACCCTGTTTGCATCATGCATCGTTCATCTGTTGTGATGAAATGCAACCCTGCGTTTTAAAAAAAGACCTCCGTAAGAGTGAGGATACTCTATCTTTGTGAGAAGTGCTTCACATATTTTCCATGGGCACAAACTGCTCCCACTCCTATTTAAATCTCTGTAGCTCTCTTCAGGGGACATTATTCACTTCAGGAAGTTCATTCAGAAGGTGCTTAGCATAAGGAGGAGGAAAGCCAGTGTGGCAGCAGGCAGCAGCATGGCTCCTGGAGAAAAGCCGAGCGCTACTCCTGCGAAAAGGGCTGTCCACAAGATCCGAACGGCCAGCCTGGTCTTCAGCGTCACGCGAGGCTGGCAGCAGCAGGCAGCTGACAACCACATAAAACAAACCCAAGAGCCCTCTGGATGGGTCCCCCCTGCAGAAGACTCTGAAGAGAGGGACCAAGGAAAAGATGAAGGAAAATCCTCAGCAAAGGAATCAGTGACAATAAGAGACCCTGAAAAAAATGCAAGGGAATCAGATGAAGCCCTCAAAAAGTTCAGCATTAAAAGCAAAGAGGTGACCAGAACAGTTGTAAGCAAAGCCTACGAAAGAGGAGGTGGTGTTAGCCTCCTCACTGAAAGATATGAGAACAACAATAGCAGCCTGGAGATGACCAAGCAAAAAGAAGAATCAAGGTGTATTGACAAAATTCTTAGTGGCAAATTATCACCAACCATAAGAAGAAAATGCTCAAACATGGTATCAGAGCTGACCAAGGGCTGGAAACAGATGGAACAAGGGGAAAAAGAGGGGGCTAAGGAAGAACTGCTGCTTAAATGTCATGATGACAGCCTGGATGCAGGGGACAGTGGCTATGGGGAAGCAGAGCAAGAAGACAGTGACCGAGAGGTGATGGCTGTGAAGATTAAACGGCCTGTGCCATCTATGTAAGTAAAACATCTTTATTACATTATCACAAACAGTCAGCAGACCCTAAGGGATGTACAGGTTTCTGTGAGGAAGGTGAGAGGAAAAAATGGTAGGAAATGGCCAAAGATAAACTATTACTCTTAAAGAAAATTATTTAAAATACTGAAATAATCCAGCAAACCTTTCACATACCTCTCTGTGCTCAAGTAGTTAGTCAACAACATCTGACTACAGCCTTAGGTTTTATGTGCTATATACATAATAGACACAGGAAGTTCTATTTGGGAAGTGTTAATTATATTCAATTTTCACACTGGATTTACTGGTTCATCAAAATCTATACTTCCTAATACTTGAGTTCATATTTCAGGGTAGCTGTTTTTACCTCATCAAGAGCCCACAGCTAGTAATTTATTTCATCAAATGTTAAGCCTAAAGCAATATACTTGAGAATTAATATTTCTAAATATTTATTAATTATTTTGCTCAGTATAAATTGTAAATATTATTGGGAGTAATTTGCAGAAAATGTCCAAAAAGACATTGCAGGAATCATTTTTTAAATACATCTTAACAAAAGTTGGGTTCCCTGCTTCTCTTTGGAAGCTTTCCATGGATTTTGAATTCATTGAGTCAAAGAATGTAAATTTTCACAGGAGCTGGGACCACAACCATACAGTAGAAAGCATCCAGCCTTCCTCACCATCTGCAGGACAGATTCGAATCACACTATATGTTATAAACCATTTGACAAAAAGAACATTTGAATAATCAATAGACTCTTCAAGTTCAATATTTCTCCTTGGATACGCTATCATAAGGGGCTGGGGAAAGTACATTCATTGAATATGTTGTGAAATATATTCATTGAATATGAAGTTCCTGACATACAGACTGCCTGACACCTGTAAATTTCTTGAAGAAAAAGGAAGCAGAATCTGTTAGCTACCAAGTCATTACAGGTTCTACTTAAAATTTTGAATTAAGTAGCAAATGCATAGCACCAGATGGATTTGAGTAATACTTCTTTCTGTAAGAGGCTTGTGCTTACGATCGCTACACAACAGCAGGCACATATTAAATTTGGAGCCCAGGTAGTAAACAAGGAGCGTTCAGCCATCGCCATGCAATCCTTGGGAAGTCTCCCAGAAGAGCAGAGAAACAGCAGAGTCTCATAGAAATCCTTGTTTCCCTTCCCAGAGAACCACTTTTCCATGAACAGCTACAAATAGTCGTGCTGTGGGCAGATGCCAAACTAATTCATTTGTTGGTAAAAGATTAAAATATCCATATGCCCTGTGCCATAAGATGGAAAGCTGTAGGCAGCCATTACAGACACAACGTGCTGTTTGCTCCAGTTCTCTGTTCTACAAACTTGGTAACGCCCCAGAACAAAGACAGCTGTTAAAGAACATGTGTTTGAGCATGAACTGTTTTGGTGTCAAACCTTGCACTTAGCTGTAAAATTGTGTTGCAGGAGAGCAGAGCCTGTGAGGCCAGGGCGCACCAAGCCATGGCCGAGGAGCAGCACACACGCTGCCTGCTGGGCTCGGTGGGCAGGGAGGACAGATAGAGGTGAAACTTAAACCAAAGCAGGATTTGACAGAGCTCATCTGCTTGAGCCTGCAGGGAGGGAAGAGGCTGGCACCAGGACACAGGTTGGCACCAGGAGCCATCACGTGGTGGTGCCCAAGTCACCACTGCTTCTACTCTGCATCCATCACCCGTATGCACACAAGTGTGAGCTGGGCAGGAGGCAATCTGAGACGAGAAGGCAGGAGGTTCACCCACCCAATTAGCCTGTGTGTAAAGGATGAGCAAGGACGCAGGAATTAGAGGATGAGGACCAGCATGTTTGTGCCATACCCTAACTGCCATTTCAGAAATTAAAAACTGGGACAAGCACTGATGAAAATGCTAACCCAGGTTTTGTGATCCCTCTGCAGACAGTCAGGTGGGCTGTACCATTCCCACTGCTCAGGTTTCACACCTCACTACTGACGACTCTTTACTATGACCAGAGTTAGACTATGGCTGACATAGTCATGGACTTCAACCATATGGTACTGTTTAGCACAACTATCTGAACATATATAGCTGTTTTAACTATTCAAGTTGAGGATTAGAATGATGCCTTGCTGTATAGCTGGCCAGGCAGTTCCCACAAGGAGGAAATGGTTACTAGCCAAAGTTTTAAAAAGCTCTCCAGCAACCTAGAGCTTGAAAGTCTGTGCCCCCTGATTCTGGGAGAGACCTTGTTCATCATGCTTTGACAGAAGTTAGGACCTCAAAACATAGATGTCACACATACAGAGGGAATGGAGACTTTATTTGAAGTGGATATTATCTGTAAATAACCTCAATTAAAACAAATTGCTCACTTTAAGAATGCTATAGTAGAAACAAAGTAGCTATCTTTCTGGTAAAGTTTAGAAGTGCTTTCCCTGTGTCTAATTTTAGTGCTGCTACCTAGGAAAAAAAAAATGATTAGCCATATTTACTGACATACAAATGACTGAAATAACACCTGGTATGTTACAGCTCTCTCTTCTACTGAAATCTAACAAAAAGTCATTTTCTGTACTTAGCGCTGTTACCAGGACTGGATTTTCTAACTACTTTTTTTTCTACTATTTTTATGAACCTCTCAGTGTGACTTAATCTTCAAAAAGGCCATAAGTATATGGCTGTTAAAAGCAAGTCTTCCATTTTCCTCTCTATATTCCAGGAAAAAAGCATCCGTGCCATTTTCCTTGCTTCAGCACCTCTATCATTTCGAGCTGCAGTACTTACTGGAATAAGGTTGCTTCCTTAGGAGAAGGCATGTTAACTCCTACAGGCATAGGAAACTATTTTGTTCCTGCTTAGGAGCCAAAGGGATGCAACAGTGATATGAAACTCAAAACATACAGGGATCCATACCTTTCGCCTACAGAAAGGATCTAAGGGAACATGGGGCATGGACATTGTCCTCCTAGAAGTTTAGAATGTTTTTAGGGTGATCTTTCCAGGTAACAGGTTAACTTAGTTGACTGTTACAGGTAAAGCATTTCTTAAGTGGGCTAATGTTCACAACCTTCACTTTAGATCCACAATCCATTGTGTAGGTGCAGTACAAACATGATCAAAATGCTTCAACATGTATGCAGCTTACTGTGCTGTCATTAAGCTAAACAATGGGGAAAATGGCACTTCAGCCACCAGAAACGGTTAAATTACAGGACGCATTAAAAGGAAAAAAAAAAAAAAAAGATAGTAACAGTAAAAGGTTTTCCCAAACCCATCTAGGGAATAATAAAAGCAAAGGGATAGATAAGACGATGTTTTTCTCAACCACTGAGAAGGCTCTTTGAATAAGGCCAGTGATAATAATGTTCAGCTAGAAAAGAGAATTTAAGGTTTCAGTAGGTAAAGAATACTTACCAGACTGTTAAATAAAAAGAGGTAACAAAGCCTTTACAGAATTATGCTATCTCATTCCCTGTCTTTGTTCCCCCTAACCTGGGAAATTGGAAACTCAGGGAGGTTTTGAAAGGGTCATGGACCTCAGTGAGAAGTGGGAGCAGCTGGCTGTGGCTGAGGGATAAGGCCTTTGAGATGGTTTCTGCTCATCAGCTCCACTGAGACTGCTGGTATCACTTCAAGGCATTTTTGATTCACTTAGGGTTCCCCCACCCTTCATTGATACCTTCCCACATGAAGAGCTGGGGAAGCAATCAACCTGAGCTTCACTGGAGTCAAGACTGTGCTAGCTCAGGGCTTTTATTGCTCTTGGGATATCGGTAGGTTCCAGGAGACAAATTGTTTGGTGTAACCAAACCCTGTACTCACAATTCCTTTGGGCAATGAAGCCACAGCTCAGGGCAAGGGGCAAAGGATCACAGCTTTCCTTTTCTTCTGTATGACAATAGCTTATATACAGGAGGCTTTAGTTTATCATTAGGAAAAAAAAATGTTTAATGGCAACTCCACAGCTAGAAGAGTGGTCCTGCTCTCCTACTCTAGCACTATAGTGCAGCCCAGTACTGGCATCCTTCTGGTGTACAGATCTGAACTGGGGACATCTTTATCATCCTATTCTCTATTACATTAGGCTTAGCAGAAAACAAAGGAATTGCCAAACAAAATTTTCTTCATGTTTTCAGTCCTCTGTACTGTTTTTACTAACTGTATTTTGGTTCTCCACTGTTGCTGTTAATATTCAGCTGACATTACTGGGGAGGTTTCAGAGCAGCCTTCTGGGGAGTACAAATATTAGAAAACAAATTACTTTGGCACAGCCACAGCACAACATACTCCCTTGCGAAGCTCTGTGCAGACTGAATGGCAGGATGTGGACAGCACAGAGACTAGCTCAGGCTATCTATAGCTCCTCCGCAACATGAGACTGGCCACTAGGGGAAACAGTATCAACAGTTGGTCTGCCTGGAGTCATCCGGCAAGATGATGTAAGGACGTGCACACATACACACACACACACACACAAAATAATCACTAAGACCTCTGAAGGGTTTTTGTCATCCTGTGACCCTGACACAAAGCTCAGTGGCACTAAGTTTCTTTCAGGCTTGTATCTTGCCAGAGATGAGGATGTGGATTGTCCATGTGAACAATACAAGTACGCTTCAGAACCGTACTTAAAATATGTAAGTATGGGCACAGCTATTGCACTCTATTAGCTTTTTGTTCGTTTTAAACATCAACATCTACTACGGGGACAGATTTTTCAACACATTACCTTCTGTTTTTCAGTGAAGAACAGCTGAGGTCCCAGACCATACACTTAAGAGTTCTTGTTATCTGTAGCGTACGGGAAGGCAGATTTCAGGCTCTGCTAGGCAGGCAGAAATAGACAGCTGTGTGACTGACCAAAGGTAGAGAAAGAACAGGTAATCATCAACGCAGTTGCACTCCCACACAGAACTAAGTCATTCTGGGCAGAAGTTTGTCAAAATGTGCTCAAATCTAGGCTGGAGGGTGGTAGCACAGATGAGATCAAGCTGTGAACAGGAAATATGCTTTTGAGAGCAAACAGGAACACGGACTAAAACTTCCCAAAGAACTAATGTAGATAGTGAACTCCTGCCACCTGGTGGTTAGCATCTCATCTGGAAAAATACGGTAACCCAGACACGAGATTAGCAGCAGAATCGTGTAAGGAAATGATGAACGCAAAGCTCAAATAACCTTTTTGTTTCTTTCAGCACAAGCAGGTTTAGTGAAGAAGCACGCAGCACAGCCCACAGGAAATACAGCCCTGTGAACAGCCTGAAGGACAAATGGCAAGAGTGGGCCGACCAGCACATCATGACACAGAAGCTGAACCCCTTCAGTGAGGAATTTGACCACGAGCTGGCCATGTCCACGCGCCTGCACAGAGGGGACGAGGGCTATGGCCGGCCCAAGGAAGGAACCAAAACTGCTGAACGGGCCAAGAGAGCCGAGGCCCACATCCACCGGGAGATCAGGGACATGTGCTTCATCATTGAATCCATGGCCAAACCACGGCCCGACGGCAAGATCCAAGTCACTTTTGGGGAACTCTTTGAGAGATACGTTCGTATTTCAGATAAGGTTGTTGGGATTCTTATGAGAGCCAGGAAACATGGGCTGGTAGACTTTGAGGGTGAAATGTTATGGCAAGGAAGAGATGATAATGTCATAATTACATTATTAAAGTAAGCATGCTACAACCAGAGCAACTTGTTTTGGAAAACCTTTCCTCACTTCTCCGTTGCTATTGCTGTTTATACATTTTGAACACAAGATTCCTCCCACTCACCTACACTCAAAAAACACTGAGCATTTTTCTAAATACACATTTTATATCTACAGCATAATAATGCAAGCATCTGAATGGATTTTTCTCTGTACCAGGTGGGCTTGCAGAATACTTCAGTTAATTAGTCCATGAAAAATATAGAGAAAAATCTATACTGAATATAAATAGCTAACTATAAAACCCTATTGCTATATATATACTATATAGCGATATAAATAGCTACAAATGAATTCCAATTTTTACTTGTTTTTACATTAAAGATCTTCCCAACTGTTTAAACTGGGATATCAGGAACATAAACCATGCAGATCAGAAGCTGAATTGTAATATAAACTCAGACCAAGTTTTTGATAGGTAAAAGTGATCTTATGCACTTATTTCCTAATTAATTTACGTAAATGCATGTAAAAAAAGTTTTATTTGAATACAGGATTAAGAACACCACATTTCTTTCCTTTACTAGCAGGATATCCAACTACCACTGTAGTATTACCTTGTGGCAACTACTGACACAGCTCTCTCTTACATATCACAAAGACAAATATCCTTACTTTTATAAATGAGGTTTTATATTTAATGTATTTATATAACTACTTCATTAGATAGTTTAATATTTATAGAGTTATGCATGTTGGACAGAAACCACCCAGTAGAAAGTAAAGCACAAAAGTCTTGGATAGCCACACAGAGAAAATACCTCCTATGCAACGTTGTGCAATGTCTGGTAATCCGTGTAAGTATGTTTCTTGGAAACACAGGGGAAAATAACATCTAACATAAAAAAAACCCCAACAAAACAAACAGTCAGGTACTTGTACTGTATTGTATAGCAAAAAAGTGACTAAACTCAGCATCATCCACTGAAATGTACCTCTGTGAAAAAATACAGAAACAGTGTTCATAACTAAAATCAAGTAACTTTTCATATTATACAGAAACCTTGGCCTAATTTTACACTATTTGCCCTTTGAACCATTCTGATGTCTCTGAAAGAATATATTTCAGTTTAGGAGATGCTGAAAAGGAGTAAACACTAATGGACTAATACTTCTAGGTCTTAAAATTGTTTGTATTATGCACAAATCTGAGACCTCTGTAAGGTCTGTATTGATCACTGGATTATATAGATCACTTTCTCTATACTACTACTATAAAAACAGCTATCCTGCTAAAAAAGTGTTTTATGAGAAAAGCATTTGTTTTGGAACAACATGCCTGGGCAAATAATATGCATAATAAAAAGAATTTTTTTTTTTCTCCCGTAAGATTCTTTCAAACTGAAAGAGCAAATATCTTCTTACAGAAGAAAAGGTGTATGAACATCTCATCTCTGTGATAAAACAAGTATGGCTGCCTTATGAGAGTACAGGTACTCCACATGGAAGCTCCAATGAACAAACAAATATTTTATGAGTTACTGATAGAAGAATCTGATTACCTTGCCTATTGTAAGCCTATGTAAATCATTAATATTTTAGGCAGTTACTGTTGTGGATCTAAAGAAATAAAACAAAAATAATACCTTAATTAATTAAGATGGACCTCAGTGGAACTTATTTAACAACATTTCCTTGAGATGTCTCAGTCTACTGAGGCTAAACTGTAAAAACTGACCTCCAAATGTAATACTTATATATTATAACATTTACCTGCATATTCTTACCTTATTCTTTACATCTTTATATAACGATCTTTACAGTTGTATAAATAATCTTGAGGAAATCCGGTTGTAAAAGGAATATATAAGCTATAAATAAAATGTTTAATTTATTGTTTCCCGAGTTATTCCTCCCACACACTAGAGAAGAAATACATGTGCATATTCTATGAAGTAAAACACACAAAAAAAAGTTGTTTCAAAATATAAGTACATTCTCCTTTTCCCAGGGAGTTAAAATATTTCCCTGTGAATGTTTCTGTTCAAAGCACCAGACCAAGATTTTGGGGTACATGGAAATGAAACAGTCCTTATATAAAATACCCTTACAAAGAATAACACTTAATGTGCCTTTAGCATGTAAGTGAATAAATATTTCTGCTCACTAGGAACTCTCATCCTGCCACAGGACAACATAGCATAGAGACAGTTCCCTACAGATTTTTTTTTTGTATTATGTTCATGTGTGACTTAAAAGCCCAAGACGACCTCACCCTTGTATGAGGCACCATATACGTCTGTTTTCATTCACTGACCCAAGACAGGAAGATGTATTTTTGTACTTAAACACTCAAACTGTAGCGTACCAGCAAAAGGTGCATTTCAATATTATGCATGCTTACAGCATCTAATAGGAGCTTGTGCTTTGAGATGAAGTCTGCGCCACCTACTACACCACCTTCAAGGAAACATCTGGAATATAAATAGGCACGTTTGGGCAAAGTAGCAATCAAAAAAAACCTTTCCAGCTTAGATCTTGAGCTAACAAAGTAGCCTGTAGAAACTGCAGGGTAAGCAGTTTTTCCACTGCTGGTTTTTGCCTCTTCTAATTTTCCTCCACGGGAGCCAGCTCTGCCTCGCTGCCCAGGCTGGGCTGACGGCACCACAGCCAGCCTGCGCTCTGGCGCTGCACTGCTCGCGCCCCGTACAACGCAGGGAGACATCCTTGGCCAGCTGGCCACGTTGGTGGCTCATAGTCGGCTGGCTGTTGTGCAACACCCCAAGGTCCTTTGCTGCCAGGCAGCTTTCCAGTTACTCTTCCCCAAGCCTGTAGTGCTGCATGGGCTGGTTGTGACCCAAGTGCAGGACCCAGCACTTGGCCCTGTTGGACCTCATACCATTGCCCTCGGCCCATCAGTCCAGCCTGTTCAGATCCTTCTGTAGAGCCTTCCTACCCTCAAGCAGATCAACACTCTCACCCAGTTTGGTATCTGCACACTTAACTGACAGTGCCTTTGATTCCCTCATCTAGATAGATCATTGACAAAGATATTAACCAGAAGTGGCCCCAATACTGAGCCTTGGGGAAAACCACCTGTGACCAGCTGCTAAATGGATTTAAATCCATTCACAACCACCCTTTGGGCTCAGCCATTCAGCCAGATTTTTACTCAATGAAACATATGTCCATCCCCCAGTTTCTCCATGAGAATACTGTGGGAAAGTGTCAAAAACTCTACTGAAGTCTATGCAGACAACATTCACAGCCTTTCTCTCAATCACAAAGCAGGACACCTTGTCAGAGTAGATCATGTTCATCAAGCAGTACTTGCCTTTCATAAACCCATGATGACTGGGCCTGATCACCCAGTTGTCCTGTATGTCCCATGTGATGGCACTCAAGATGATCTGCTCCATAACCTTACCTGGCACTGAGGTCAGAGTGACAGGCTTGCAGTTCTCTACATCCTCCTTCCGGTCCTTCCTGTAGATGGACGTTTTGTTTGCTAACCTCCAGCCCACTGGGACCTCCCCGATGAGCCAGGACAGATGACAAATGACAGGACATGGCTTAGTGATCACTTCTGCCAGCTCCCTCAGTACCACTGGGTGGATCCCATCTAGCCCCATTGTCTTGCATGCATCTAAATGGTGCAGTAAGTCACGGACCGTTTCCCTTGATTATGGGGGCTTCACTCTGCTCCCTGTCCCCATCTTACAGCTCAGGTGTCTGGGTACCTGGAGAACAACCAGTCTTACTGCTAAAGACTGAGGCGATGAAAGCATTAAGTACCTCAGCCTTGTCCTCATACTCGGTCACTGTTTTCCCCTGCCTCCAGTAAGGATGAAGATTCTCCTTAGCACTCTTGTTGCTGTTAATGTATTTATAGAAGAAATGATGCCTTCTTTCATACTAGAACATCAAGATACACGTGCATTTACACCACAGAGGATAAAAACAAGACTACAGGGTTAGAAAAAGGCAATCTCATGAGAGGAAAAAAGGGTAGCCTTCAAGCTCACAAGCCCTCTTCAAAGCCTTCCTTGCCTTAATTCCTTATATCAGCTGTGTAACAATGTAATCACTAGTATAAAACATAATCTATAGTTCACTGCAGATAACTTAAACCTTCCATTAATAGTCATCCCAATGCAGTGTTAAAAACTTCATTTGACAAAAAACTTTTTCCATTTTTCCACTGAAAATATTTTATTCCCACTTGGTTAAGAAAACCAGACATATGATACGACTAATGATTTGTTTTATATGGTCCTCCATCATTTACCTTTGAATAGGTGGTACCATACAAAGGTTTCTAAAAACCATTTACAGTTTTTGTGCAAGATAAATATTAAATATTGATGCCATTTGTGATGTACAGAAGTTTTTCATGTAGGTTATTTGTCTTATACCACTTTTTACATAAAGATGTATGAGAAGTTCATCCATGCAAAATAGGTGGAAAAATAAATCTGAATTAATTAAAAAACACCTCAACAAAAGTACTCCATAAATTATCCAGTCTAATTCTCCTACTACACTGTCACTGTCACATTCCTGTGAAGCTAGTGAACCTCTGCTGAATTTAAATATTCTACTTAAATTCTAAGTAGTAAGATGACAAAGGTCAAAAGCTGCTTCATTAAAGCAGTCTTCATAGCTTTTAAGACCTGCTTTCCTATTTCTGGTTTGCTTCAACAATAAGAGAAAGAGTGAATGCTTATTCTCATGTCAGCTTACAGTTACATGTTATTTTCTTAAATACTGTGTTCATCCCCAAAATGTTTTCTGTGAAACAGATTTCCTTCTGATAAGTAACAGATCTCTCATTCTCCTGTCTGAGCCTTGTGCTGCTCTTGCAAGGGTTATGTAGTTTGCTAGGAAAGCAAAATTCCTTCCTTGGTATTGAAAAACTCGTCTCTTCTTCTGTAGGAACTGTAAGGTTCATGTTTCACATTCTGAATGTACCTTTCATGCTTAAGTGATGGCACAGAATTTGAATCAGAGGAAACAAATGTGACTTTCACATCTTCGTATTTTTTCAAGTCTTACACCAGTTGCTACAGTGGCCTGAAGTGAGTGGAAGGTTCACTGCTTGTGTATCCCACTCACTGGAAATCAGCTCCTCTTCTGTGGCAGGAATTCCTTCTTTAAAGTGTTTTGGTACAGCCAGTGTTCAGTGTTACAGCTCATTTTTTGAAAAAAAGGGAAGGCTACTGAAATAAAATCAGCAGCAGTGGACAACATCTGTGGTGAGATGCTCAGTCATCACTGATCACAGAAAAGATACTGGCAAGCCCTGATGCCACAGTTATTTCAGCTGCTGTGTGTATATTGTACCACATCAACACCACAAATACAGTCCCTCCTGTGACCACAGGGCACACAGAGGAGTTTAGTGCTCAACAGCATGGGTACTACAAGTAGTGTAACTATTAAAAGAGAAGCTCAACAGAGGTTACAAAGCTTATCAGATTAGCAGGACAGCAGAAACTAGAGTTTAAACAGACTTGACACTGGTGATACTGTAGTGGGACAGCCAGCAGGACCACTTTGGTTTGTAGTACATACCACACTAAGTGTACCCCATTCACTCAGCTGGACTCTGTCTCTGCTCCAGTACCACAGGGTAGCTCTATTTCCCACTACAGCAGCATGTACTCTCAGGGGGAGAAACAGTAGAGGTCTGTACTCTTAACTGAGCTTCCTGGTGCTGGGACAATAGCAAAACACCCTGATGACATGTCTGTCTACAAAGAAGAACATGAAGCTGAGATTCAAAATTCAAGTCCTGCATGAAGGATGTATCCAAATCAGTAATATTTTTTTTTTTTTTAATTTGAAACTGAACAAGTAGTAAATGTTTTAAAATCTCTTCAAAGATTGGATTTTATGCAGATATGCTAACTCCTGTGCAAAACCCCATAAACCTAACGTAGCATATATAGGTGAGCAGGAAGATGCAAGCACAAGCCACACATGAGAAAGCACGTCCTTCTGCAGTAACACAGACAGGGCTTAGAGCTGGAAGATGTGGCAAGAATCCCAGGCATCCACGAAAAACGCTGAGTTACTCGATGAATCCATCTTAGTGCTCTATGCTGAGCCACAGTGTTTGGCACCAAACTCTATCAAAAAATAGCTCACAGAGCCTTCAGCATGTGTCCAGCCTCTTTACAATCAGAGACACAAACCTTGCCAGGGAAAGACAGAAAGGAATCATACTGCAGAACGTTCATACTGAATTGCAGGCAGGAGGTCGATCAGGACAGTGCCTTTCCTCTCATCTGGCTCGTCTTTTTTGTCACACACCTTTGGTTAACAAAATCCACGGTCTTTCATTAATAAATGTACATTGCTTTCTTTAGATCCTTTACAAAACTGGGCACGCCACTGAATGCTACCACAGTCTTTTATACTTTAATGTGAATGTCTTTCCAATCATTAACTAATTTAGTATTTATACCATTGCAATTGCTACTGTACTGCTTACTATACCGTTCCTGATTTCCACATCGTTTTGTGCCACGTGCCTCTCCAAGACTGGCCCAAAACTCAGAGACATCCAGCTATTGGAGATTTTCTGTGCTTTTAGATAGTTCTTCAAAGTATTAATTATTTATAAAATTCTTCACAGCAGCATTAAAAATGTAAAATGGGCTTTATTTGCAACAAGGATTATTGTAATCTTAGTGTAGAGACTAAGCACTTGAATTAATGGGATTTGCAAGAAGGATAATTTGAGATGCCTTTTTTTTTTTTTTCTTCTTGAAAATGGCTGAAGACAGCATATCTGATGGACCTGATGACCTTAGAGGTCTTTTCCAATCTTAATGATTCTACTTCACTCTCACCATGAGCTTTCAAAAACCAAAAATCCCAAAAAGGATGAACAAATGCATCCTATATGTTCAGTAAAATTATTAAATGAACAGCAATAATCTGCATTTGTGCTTCTAAGTAAACTCCAGCTTCTAAATAAACTCCAACTCAAGTTTATTTTTACATATATTTAGATTTATTTGCTATACATCACTGTGACCTTAGAGTACTTAAAATCCATTACAGGATTTTTTGTTGTTGTTGTTCTTGTTGTAATAATCAGTCTTAACTCCACAAAGACAATACTGCTGTGGAAGACCAAAGGGGAGAAAAGCCATTTCAGTTTATTTACAGTTCCTTATTTTGTAAACATTTAGTCTACACATTGTACTAGGTTCTAATAAGGATAAATAGCTATACACAGAGACAGGAAACAAAGCCCTGTATTTCTATTCATATTGAGCATTAGCATGTTATAGATGGAACATCTGCCCTTTCTCATTACCATAGCAGTAAGCTGTCTTCAAATAAGTTTTTAAAACTTTCCAAAGATGTAAATATTTTGAAGTAATATACAACTACATCTACTTAAGCCAAACCATTTGGCTTTTATTCCATTTCTATAATAATTTAAAGTGCTATAAGCAACCCGTCAATCAACACTTTTCTATAATAACAAAACTACTTTAAACATTAATTTACAAGGTAATATACAATGTTCATCTGAAATAGCTGAAATTTCAGCACAAAGTCAGTTACTGTCACACATAACAGCAATTTTTTTTTTTTTGTTTTGTTTTTGCAGAACATAGAATAAAAGCTTTGAAACTAACAGTTGTGTTGAGCTGTTATTGCCACAATGGCTTATCAATTTTCCTACAAAAGTGGACAAGAGCTACTGGAACTGTATTCTAGCCTGTCATTTTTTTTTGAGGTCACATGACAGTAAGTTTGCATATTCCACGAGTCTACTGAATTACAATATTGTCTACCTATAGTACATTGTCTCATTTTAATCAGAGCTGGTGCTAACTGTAAATTTACAACATAGACCCACTCAAAAACATCACAACTATTTTGTTTCTTTGGACAGGAATAAGCTATATGCTTCGAGTTGATGTGCTACACGGCTACGACAGTATAACAGTATATATCTGACACTTTATGTTGAAGAAGGATGCATCTGTTTCTGTAATTTAATGCCCTGCTATAGCTACAAGTTTTTCACCAAGTTTTTCTTGCTTTAGCCATTTGGATTTTGTGGAACTATCATACTCTTACTTGCTATTTTCTAAGTCCTTGCCATGTAGCTCAGTACTGTCAGTACTTGTCCCAAACCTGCAGATCATTAACAGCATGTGCAAAACACACTTTAATACAATCAGCATGCAGCTAGAATATGTATTAACTGACTTTTTTCTAAACATGAACAATAAAGACAAGTGGCACTGTTGACTTTGGATATCTTGCAACTACACCACGTGTGTACTGGTATGTGTTAGGAAGGAATGCTAGGCTCCTCATCTATTAGTGCCACCATTTGAACTAACCCATCATTGGTCCAGACCAATCTTTGCAGTACTGCTGCCAAATACCCACACACGGCTTTCTTATACAGGTTCACAGAGGGCAACTTCATTCATAGACATAATCTGAATACAAAAATAATAACCTATATTCAATGAAGCAGCCCCCTAGCAGGATTGCAGAAAGGTGTGTGTGGGAAATCTGGGAGGCAACTGTAATATGGATAAGAATCCTGTAGGCTGCAAGGCTTGAAGTAAGCAACATTCATTTTTAGTTTACATGTTCTGCATTTTGTAAAAGTTTCTACAGCTTAGAAAAAGTAGGACAGTATATTAGAATGTGAGAGCATGAAAATACCTCTGCTATTTAAAAATAAGAACTAGATGGCCACGCTGAAAACTTACAAAAAAAAAAATCAGGAAGGTAAAATGGTGCATTATATTGCTCCTAGGGATTTTACAGCTGCACTGATTCATATCAGGTTTGGGACAATACCCTGCAGAAGTAGTTAAATACTCATTCAAAAGCCCATATTTCTATGTCTTGAATAATGAAGTCTTCTCGCTTAGAAAGCGTATGATTCCCAAATGTTTTACATGAATGACTTCTTCCATGGTAGAGATCACCATCGAGCCAAAGAGCAAACTCCCCTCTGCAAGACAGACAGCGTGTTAAAGCAACAGACTAAGGGAGCAGGCATTAAACTTGAGAATATGTTTTTCATTCAGAGTTCAGGAACAAGGAGGAATTACAGAATTACTGTTCAACACCAGTACTTATAGCCAGTCACAAATTCAAAGCTGAAAATATTTTTTTTTTTACTAATTGTAATTAATTTGAGACTATCCTGCTTTTGCATATTCTGGAATAATCAGAATTCTTTAATTTTCAGCCCTTCCCATTTGTATTAAAAAGAAAGGTGTAACGATACTCATGTGTGAGGAGAATGCTGATAATGAATAAGGGGAACATTCCAGAAAGCTCATGCACTTGCATGGATGAAAAAAACAAACACTGGCATGTCTTGGGATGGTATAGTTTCAGTTCAAGCCTCTTCTAATTATACATCATTTTCACATTTACCTTCAGAATCATAGCATCTTGTGTCCATTCAGAATATACCAAGACATACATAAAAGTAGAGCATGCAAGGCACCATAACCTGGCAGGGCTGACTTCCTTTTTAAGTTTCCTCAGTACAGGAAGCTAAGTATCTGACAAACTGAATCTCTCTTGGTTGGTATCTGTTGAGCCTTGAGCTATGAAACTGAAGTAAATTCCAAATAGTCTTTTCAAAGGTGTGCAAACACACACACTTTTAACAGACTATAATGACAAAAAGAAATTATAACTTACCCTCCTCCACCAAAAGCAAGGGAGTCCATGTCTCCTTTAATGAAGAACATGTTGTCTCCTGTCCATTTGAAAACCTAATAGAAAAAAAAAAACAAAAAACAAACAAAACAGACTAGCAAGTTAAAATATCTGAACTTTTCTTTTGGGTGGAAGGGAAATTAAACATCAGTAAAGACAGATTATAGGTGTATAGAGCCCAATTTAATGAAGTTACCAGGTTTACATAGAAAATTCAGGGAACAGGTATATGCCAACAAAAATTCTCCTACATTTTATACTATTTAAAACAAGACTATTCCAAAACAGGTCTTCTTTGAGCACTGAATCTTCTACACAATGAAAACTAGCCAGAAAATATAGTTAGGTTAGATGATATACCCTTTAAAAGGATGTAGTTATGGATTTCAGACAGACATCTGGCAGAATTTAAATAGTAGAAAAATCTTCAGTCCAATGAAAGACTCAGGTTGAGTATGTTTTTCACTATGCAGACACGATTGATTTAAGCTGCACTTACAGATTCTGTGGAAAAACCAGTATGTTGACATTGTTTAGGCCACACCTAGAATTTTTCAGATTATTTACTCTTAGATCTATTCAGTAAGTATTTTAAGATAATGCACATGGGAGGAAAAAAGCAAAAGCATACAAAGTCAATACTACTTACCTCAAAATCTGGAGAAAAAGTGAACATAAAGGTCTCCCCAGTGCCATAAAAGCCATCACTCACTTTAAATGGTTCAGATGCTAAAGCACCAAAAACCTGTAAGCAAAAATAAACAAGAGAAAATACTTACCAAACTACTACTAGAGAATCCGCAGTGATAGTAACTGATAAACAAATCAGGTGGTTAATGTTGCCAGATTTGGAATTCAGTACAGGATAAGCCTTACCTAGTATCATGGTTCCAAGAGCACTGAGATGTGGTATGGTCTTTGGGGGTACAATTAAAAAAAACCCAAACAACCACCACCACCACACAGTGAGAGGACTTGCTCTTAATAAGAAGTGAACATAGGGGGGGAAAAAAAAAAAAAAAAAAAAAAAAAAATCAAACCAAATCAACCAAAAATCCAAAGGGATAAAATTAAAACTCAGTAAGTTCTCAGAAACCATGTGCATATTTTGAAAATTTTAGATCAAAAGGTTCTGCTCCTTCATACGTAGTTTCTTCTTCAACTTCAACGAGGCTATTTTCAGCGATTCCTAGCTGTAACCCAGTTGTTACATGTTTCATGTAATTTAGTCATCCCAATCCAATTAACAGGTAAGCACTGGTTACCCTGTCTTACAACAGCTACAGATTTTAACTAAGCCTTTGTTGCATAGAAGAAGTATTTATAATAATTCAGGAATAAGAATCATAGGGGTTGGAAGGGAC